TAAAAGTGGCTACTCTTACTCATTCTCTGGACAGCTAAATGCCAGGTTGCTAAGTTACTGTTACTTGACATCATCTCCTCCCCAACGTGTTCCCACATTTGACAGGTTCACATGATTTACTAGGCCAGTCAGCTCGTTATTCACTTGTCCAATGACGTCTGGATAATCATTTTAAATTCACATCATGTCCTCCCCAGCAAGCCCCCAGATTCCACATGAAAATATTTAAACTGCCTGTCAGCTACTAAGTGCATTTGTAACCACACTGGACAGCGTACCTGTATTTTTCAAATTACAGTTATTATAATTAGGTTTAGCATCGTTCTTCAATGTTGGTTTGTATTTTAGAAGAGAAAACAATTACTGAGGGGCAAATAATGGGCTATATCTGTTACAGTCTAATTTTGCGCTGTGAACAGCTCACCTCAGCTATGGATGATACATATTAAATCCGTTAGTGCTTTCAATTGGCATGAGGAAGGTACTACTACACATAATTTGCCCAGTCAAGGGCATTTTCACCTGCTGATCAATTTACATATTCTCCAATGTCATTAGACATGAGCTAGTCATCAGAAGAATAGAAGACCATACAAATTATAGACTTTGCTCATCTAACTCCAGTCATTTTTATACTAATTACAATCTGAATTGTATTTAGGATTTGTTTTGCTTCCAGACTAGAAAGCTTTTAATTAGTATCACAGCTGTCCACATAACATCAGAAGTCCATCTAGTTTCTTGATGCCTTACTACAGTGAATATGCACCTACAAGAATTCTTTTGTTTCTCTAAGCAGGGACAGATTTTTAGACAGAAGTGCCTGCCCAGATGGTTAGCAACACAGACACGAAAGCTTTATGTGTACAGACCAGAGCCTCACTTCTGCGGGATTATGTCTAATCGATTGCCTAAACACCTAGCCCAAAGTTTCAATTTACACTACAAGTCCTCAAGAAAATTTAGTTAAATAAAATTTCCTTTCTTTCCCATGTAATGTGGTATGCTTATCACCTCTTTAGTCAGAGGTAAAGCGATACTAAGGGAGGTTCCTTCTGCACTCTCTATAGGCAGAAAAAGGATCACTGCTAGTTTGCACTTAGTGTCACACCTACACGCACCCCTGTGCCTGGACCAGCATGACGGTGCACATAACACTCAATGACAGCAAGGCACACTGATGTAAAGCACTGGTACAAGTGGCATAAGTAACAGCTTCAGAATACTGGTTTAAAATGTCAGTTCTCCCACCCCATCTGCACTTCGTATCACAGCATTTCAATGAACTCATTTTTCAATGGCTGCGCATAGCAAGTGACAACTTAATTTAAATCCGTATTAATAAAATGTGAATTATACACACACACACACTGTTGATTGCCTGTGTTCTATGTTATCCACACTTTCAAAGCTATTATGTTGGTTTAAAAAAATAAGCCACATTTTGGAACAGAAAAAAGTGTACCAACCATCAGTGTATTTGCCTTCATCTTTCGATCTGGTATTAATGCAAATCTCCTGTACTATCTTTACAGCTTAGCCTTAGCTGTACAAAAGAGATTATTTTTCTTTAATAATTATTTTTAACAACCTTTTCAGCCATCCTGGTTAGAAAAGCAAAATCAACAGGAGACTAGTCTGCCATTAACCTTTGGTTGTAGTATCAGGAACAGCCCTTGAAGCATTTACACAAGATGACATAAGTGGCTAAGTGTTTCAGGAAACCTGAAGGACTGTGAAATTTTGTCTCTGAAGACTCAGGGGTCTGAATGGACTCAAGACCTTTCCCCTCACTTGGTTGGAAATTTTTGACCATAAACTCAATTAAACCTTTTTTTCTATGAAAAAAAAAAAAAAGACAGAGATTAGGAATTTCAAGTCTCTACAACTGCAAAAACCATTAATCAAGCTCAGCTTGAAAAAAGAGCTCTGTAAAACCAGAGGTCACAGATCTTAGCTTGCATCCCTCTTCCTTGTAAAGTCCAGCAAAAAAACCTACAAGAGTTACTGTGTCTTTCTGAGGGATGAAACTGAATTAAGTCCCTTAATTCCTTGACTTAAAAAAAAAAAGGAAAAAAGCAAACTTCAAGACATGAAATGCTCTCAAGGGAGACTGGCGGGGCTGGGGCGAGGCAGGTGGCAGGACCCTTCCTCTGGCACTTTGGGCACACAGCTCAGCAGTGGACATGGCCCAGAGCAGAAATTGCCAGTCGTTGCCAATGGTTTGGTTGGTCAAAATGCACGCTATTACAGCCCCATCTGTCTACCTTCGGGACTTGACTGTCTTGTAATCCTTCTTGTTTACCTCTGCAACATCCCTCACAGGATGGAAATGTTAATAGCCTATTTTTTTACCTGGGAAGCTGCCATCATGGAGCTGAGGCCCACACTCCCAAAGGCTCTTCAGAGCCTACATAAATGGCCCCAAAAGGCCAGAAAGTATCTGTCAGGGCTGGGAACTTAATCCAGGTTCTCAAAGCACAAATTGCTGCTGAAACCAAGGGTCATCCTTTGATCTGAAGCGGATAGCGTGAATCTCCTGACACAGGGCTTCTACGGGGAGCCTGAAGACTGGATTTTGACCACTGCTGGGCATCACATTCTCGTACTTACTTTCTCTCCATTGCCTATCAAGTAGAATATGATACTCTACATGCAGCCAAAACACACTTCCCGCTAGCTTATTTTGCACTATAAATTTGAGAAGAACAAAGTCATTGACAAAACTCAGGTACTTCTACTTCCACATGGGCTTCAGCACCATATGAAGTTGAAAGCCTAAAATGCTGCCACTGAAAACAGCCAGTTGGGACTGGGGTTTGCTGGGCCTTTGCTGGACAGCCCCACAAGCGTCTCTGTGATCTGCTGCTTTCGTAGACTCAGGGCCTTGCTGGCAGCCTGCAGCCTCTTGCAGACAGGTTACAAGAAGGCTGCAGATAGCCTGTCAGCACCCAGATCTGCCTAATGCCACACCGATGGCATACTAAGCCACCCTCACCACGCAAAAGCATGCAAACCTACCTAGCTACATGTGGTGAGGGACTGCACACCCCAGATGAACCATGGCCGAGGTCCCATGCTCACCTGCGGTGTGCCAAGCCCACACCTGCTCCCCGGCCAGGCGGTTTTATATGCTCAAGATGGCTTCTGGCTGACAGGTTTGCTCCACGGCTGGATGGCAAGGCTGGGTACGGGGGGTGCCTGCAGGCATCTGCACCCGGCAGTCAAGAAAGATCTGCTGGTTCGTATCCCTTTTTTGGGTGCCCGTTACATGCCCCCGTGAGACAGATTCCCAGAGACATGGAAACCTGCCAAATCCCTGCTCTGTCCACCTCCAAGTCCCTCCAAGTTTAACAGCCTACTGGTGGCAGGAGGTGCTGCCTGCAGCCGCAGGGACTCTGCAGTTCATCCCCATCCTCTGAAGACAACAGAAAGTCACGCACCGATCTCAACAGGTTTCAGAAGGAAGCGCGGGACATTCTGCTTCTATTTGTTGACTCAAATTACAGTCATGGGGTAGGAAATAGGATCACCTCCTCTTGATTAAAAAAAAGACATTTCTGCTTCCTGTGATGTATATGCATTGTTCCCACATTAAAACTGTCACCTGGATGATTGATCCCTGAAATTCACTACATCACATTTCCTTCTGATGCTGTTTACTGAAAACAACTGCTTTCCCCAGCTAACAAGCCATTCATTCCAACTATAGTAATGAACCTAATTGAAATATATAAACAGGGAAAGAAGACATTTAAAATGTACCAAGTATTTCGCACAGCCTTTCAACGTTTTCTTTGCTTTTGCTCCCTTAGTGTTCTATAAGTAATAAACCCCTGCTCACTTTGAAGGTTGAAACTAAATTTATTTACTGCCTTGCATTCATTGCTGCTGGGTGCACATGCAGATGCATACTCCTCCGCTACTGCAGGTCTGCACGTGCACGCTTGCCTGTTGGTTCAACATACTTCTACAGCAACATGGGCAACCCACAAGGACATCAATAGCATCCCAAGATAATGTGCGTACACAAAACAGGAGCAAGTTTCCCGAACTATTTAACTCTGGATTACAATGAATACAGAGGAGCCTATTTTATTTTATAAGCAAGAATAAGTCCATGTCTTTGCAAGCAAGTCAGCAGGATTGTTACACATCATTTCAGGTCTGGGTTAGTCTGCACCAGTTGCTCCTAGTGATAAGGACATGGCTGGCACAAATTCCCACTGAAATTCTATCCCTTCTATACCGAGGTGTTGGCTGGCAGTCCCAGGGAGGTAGCTCTGACAGATGGGAAACTTGACCCATGAGGATAAAAACCTAAAACCCAGATAGGGACTGGTGGGTCACAAACCTGCCCCCAGAAAAAACTCACTGCCAACAGAGGACCCCAAAGTTGGGGTGTCTGAAGAAAAGCCCAGCTTACACTTAAAGTAAGGTGGATTTACACATATACAACTTGTTATGCACACTCCCCTTTTTCCTGTTATATGATGTTGTTGCAATTAAGCCATGGTCAGTTTGGAGTGGTTGTTTTAATTCTCTGTATTCAACCACTGACCAGAGCTCCCAGAAAAAAGAAAAAAAAAAAAGCCCGTAGGTCTCTAACAAACCCATGAACAATGAGCAACTGTAGTCTGGGGGAAGATGATGACTACAGGTCAGTCTGTGAGTGGGAGAATTAAGGCAACACAACCTCAGGGTAGGAGAGACACATGTCCTGGAGAGAGTCACAGAGACTGAGAGCTTAAAAAAGAACAGGAACGTGTGTAAATCCTGACTGAGACAAGCTGGCAGATGCAGAGTACTAAGTGAACTGACCTTACTCACTAAGGAGCACCCTGGGCCTACCACTTGGCTGTGTCTCTTTAACAGAGACCCAGTAATATGTTATTATTTAACTACAGTATTAAAGACAACCATATAACCCTTCTCCATGAAAGATGAAATAACAGCACTACAATTATACAAAAGATACAAAAGCAAAGGGTATTACTTACCCGTAATATTTCTTCCACACAGCTGGAGTCATTGGGAAGAGTAACCTAGGTTTAAAGAAAAGAATAAATGTTTAGTCAGGTGCTGGATGCAAAATTCAGTGACTACAACCACACAGGTGAACAGCTAACAAGCAACAGCCTCTGAAGACTGCTGTATCCACACTTGCTGCCTATCAAATTTTCCAGTTCAGATCAACATAAATCATCAGCAGGACCCATTTTGTCAAAAGTTGTTTTTTTCTTCCATACTGCTTTGTGCTACTAATGACACTTTTGAAGCAATAAAATACTCTGATTTCCTCACAGTTGAGAACTGGTACTAGAATTGTCTGAAACTTCTGTAATTGAAGAAGATCCCACTGTTACTCCTATCGGCAGCCTTCAGAGAGAAGGCGAGGTTTGGTTTAACTTGCCGCATGCTGCAGCGAAGGACAGAGGTGATAACAGTTGGGAGAAAGCTGTTATCATCAACTATCTTATCCTACAGCTTAATAGGCTAACAGCCAAGACAGCTCTTAAAACTTAAAACATATACTGTAGTAAAATACTAGTTGGACTGTAAGGGTAGCTGCTGATTTTGTTGTCCCCCGCTTCATCAGCCTGTTGCAGGTTAAGTACCCTCTGAAGACTGAACAGCACATAGGAATCCACCTCGAGAGGCTTGACAGATATTCCTTCTCCCCTTAGAAAGATGCAATATACCTACGCACACAACCATACCCACGCACGCACCCAGTGGTGCCCTTAACATCTTACAATTGAAAATACTCGTTTAAATGGTACTTACACCATTTGCCACAATCCCTCATTCCAAGGACACAGAAGAACGCAAAACCTCTAAATACTGTGAACAATTACAGAAACAGCAGGCAGACATGACCGCTACATACAACCATTCTGTAGCACTTGCAGTTAGATATGACGGGTTCTTGTCATGGGGGTGCAGCAAAACAGGAAGAGACAATATTCAGGAAGGTACGAAAAAACAGGTAAGTGCTTTGTACCATAAATATTCAGTGAGACTTTTCTGCCCGATGCTTCTACCTTATTGCCCTTGGTAACTAGTTTGGTAAAAGACACCCGTGACTAAACTTAATCCCTGTCATCCTAATCTGCTATAGAGCTTGACCAAAAGCACTGACCATGGCTTTCCTCCTATATTTCAGCCAGCACTAAGCTTCAAGAATAAATCCACACAGCTGCAAAAGTCAAAGACCAGAAAGACCTATTACATCACCAAGTTCATGCTCTGCTAGTGTAGCATGTTTCCCCATATCTTCTAGTACTGTGGCTAGTCTGACCCCAAAACTGTAGGGAAAAGCATCTCCCATCTCTTCCCTTAATAAAATACAGAGCAGTGTTGTAAACTGTTTGGCCCTTTTTGTGATGATTGTTAAAATTTTGCTTTCAGTGTCACCTCAGCCCTTCTGTAGAGGTCTTCCCACTACTCTAAGTAACTCATTACTTCCCTTCACGTTTACACCACGCACAGACATGCAGAATTATACTCCACTTTTCTCAAATGCTGTATGTTCAACTTTTACCTTCTTTCCTGATAAACAAAGTTTTCCATCCATTTGGCTTATTTCATCACTGTTCTCTGAATTTCCAACAGTTCCTCAATATCTTGGTAAAGAAGTACTCAAGTGAATATGACTACACTACAGGGATATTAGTGATTTTTATCTACTTCAGCAACTATAGATTATAATTTTCCTTAATAACACTTAAAAACATTCAGCCAACCAAAAAAACAGCCTTACCTTTTGTCCCCAGTTTCTACTCAGCTCAAATTCTACCTAACAAACCTAGGCTGAGAACTTCCAGTGGATGGTCAGCATTAACTGCAATAGGCATGCAGTCCACCCTCATACCGCATGACTTGATATTGCAGCACTTCATTGGCCTTCCTTCATCCCCCTACTTTCCATTTAAATCACTTTTTTTCCCTCTCAGTACCTGTAAGTTCTTTGCTAATCTGCATCTTCCATACCTCATTCCAACTCTCCATTCAGCAAGGAATATAGTTAACTTTAACCAAAAGATTAGCAAGCACGGGTATTACTGCAATGTGCAGTGGGATAGTGGGAGTACATATGTCTCTAATACACTCCTGATTTTTTTCATTGAAAAATTAGTATGTTGGAATATGAGAAAACAAAACAAATACTCCCCCAACAAGCTTGCAGTGTACACACCAACCACAAAATCTCTCACAGCACTAACAGGAGCAGCCCAAAATCCAGCCGAGTGAGTCAGACTGGGAGGAGTGAGAGCAGCAGAGGTGCAGAGCCCCCTCTTTATTTAACACCCCTCCCTACCACCACACATGCCATTTTTAATGGTTAGCCGAGATACCATGTGTATTCCTTTGTTTAGAAATGTCTTAATTGTGATAATTGTGTCCCTGACTATTAACACAGGGCAGAGCATGTTCTTACTTGTTTCACAGTCCTCTCCCAATTCACAGCCCTGTTTAAGTTTATGTTACTTCAGAACTAATGATGATAATAACAATAAACATACCATTTTCCCTTAATAAAGCCCACTATATATTATGCAATCACAACCAGCTTCTGCTGGCAGCACTTGCTAATAACTTTAAATGCTCATGCATCAATTTAATTGTGTTAATGGCAAAGAAGATTTTAATGGCTTGACAGAACTTTTGTTCCCTTTGGCATTGCTTTGTTTTGAATCACTGGTATTAAAGTAATGCAAGATGTCAAAGTGCTGTGATTGTCATATAGGGAGATCCAAGTAGGAGCTAGCACAAAGAGGAAAACATTTAGATTGATGCAAACATTAAAAGAATAATTATTACAACATGGCTATCAGAGAGAAGATCAATGTAAGAGTCTTTCAGTACATTACTATTAATGAATTTCTAAAGAAATGAGACCATTTTTCTAAAATCATGCTACAGTTGCACATTCTAAGAGATTTGAAAGGCACAGATCTATCAGAAACTTAGTCTATCCTGGAAAAAAAAAGGAAAAAAAACAATCTCTCAGCCTTTCAAAGTGTGAATCAAAAATTGCAAGTTTAATTGTCCATAAACACTTGCATTCAGCTAACAAGTGCAAGCAGGCCCACACGGCACACCACGGCATCCAAGCATAGATTTATCAGGACAGAATGAAACAGAGCAGATACAATATTCATCACCTTCTCAAGTACTAGTGCTATAGCAAATTGTTATTAGAATTGCCATTAATAAAGTGCCACGTTCCTCCTGTAGTTTAGTCAAGATTGGACATCCATCCCCCCATACTACTACTTTCCTAATCTAATAAAAATCAAGTAGTTTAGGACCCATCACGTGATTCTCCACCCCCTCTCCTCTTCAGCTTTCATCAGTAATCAGATTCTAAAAAGGAGGGCACAGCTTGCATTTGTGCATGCTTTTGGTGCTTTTCTTCCTTTGTGAGCAGCATGATCTAACTCAGCCAAAAGGACACATTCCAGGAATTTGGCTTCCATAAGACCGAGTAGTTGCATTTCACATCATGAGCTCTTCTCTCAGCCGGCAGTGCATTCATGAACCCCAGACTGAAGAACAGTGAATATTACATAAGCTGCAGACAGACATCCTGAGGTAATAAAATTTCAATCAAAACAAAAAGATTTCACAAAGGCTACATGCTACACTGAACTCATCTTCCAATTTCATTTTAATCTGGCAAAACTCTTTTGCATCAAAACGCTTCATGTTTACTTTTAAATATTGCTTGCTAAAAGAAAGAAAGAAGAAAAAAGGAAAGGTCAGATGGTCAAAATATTCCACCTAATACAAGGCAGTATTCTAAGGCTCTCTTCACATTTTGGTCTCACAAGAGAGAGAACAGAACTTAAATGATGTGGAACCAAAGGTTTAATGTATGGCTTGGATGGCTCAGTGCTAAACTTTAAAGGGAGGGAAGGAGGGCAGAAATCTAAGAGTGAGGGAATAGTAGCCTTTAATGTTATGCAGATCAAATGACACTGGGTGAATGGTTACAATATCTGATGAGTCATGTTGATCTAACCTTCCATTTATTCATTCAACAGTTCCTTGACCACTCTTACATCCTGGACAATTTATAACCTGCATGAGATCAGATTTTGTTTTTGCGGCAGAGAAAAATCATATAAAGTCTCTTTTCCCTGTAATTTACACCCGACAGCAGGCATTTCTCAGAAATGTTAGCAACAAAATCTTCCAACAGACTTGTCAGAATAGTTCTGAAAATTCAAATGCAGTGTCAGAAAGCAGAAACACACAATGAATAATGTCTTTGCCAGAACTGACCAACTACATTTTCATCTGGATAAACTCTTCATGAACAATCCCTCTGGTTTTATTGATGCACAGTTGGCATTCAACAAGTAATCTCTTCTTCCTGTCTTTGTTTTACTGGAAAGATAAATGTAGCATGTTAAATGAATGTAGGAATCCACTCTCATTTCTTGCGTATGAGCACCTATGTGCTTATACATCGGGAACTCAGCTTTCATTGTCATCTCCTTCATCAAGGAACCCATTTTGACTCTGGGGAGATGAAGCTCATACTACTGTTTATTCCTTTGAACACAAATTGATTTTTCACTTGCTAGCACGAAAAGATCCTGTGCACAAGCCTTGATTGATCATTTCCACTGTGCACTACACTGTGATAAGAGGAAAACACTTAGAAAACCAGAAGCAGTAAAACCAGGACTGTCAGCAGAAGCCTTGTCCTATGAATGCCTTCAGCTCCTGCCAGGCTTCCTATTAACAGAGGCTGCTTCTTTTTTTGATTAATACAAGTGGGAAATGGATTGGGCAGTACTAAGAATAGCAGGGTTTCCAGATACAAGACGTTGGACTACATGACCTTTGAACATCCTTCCAACCTATATGAACCTGTGATTCGATTTTTGCAATATGCTCACTACAAATCTAAGAAGATGCAGTACTTCACCTGCACTTGAATGGAGTATACACCCACGCCTTTCCAACACCAGCTTTCCTTTGATTGCCATCAGTATTTCCTTGCATGCCCAGGCTTCATTTCCCCTCTTCA